ACTCAAACGTGGGTGGTTCTTTCTGCAGCTGTGTTTGTTTATCGGTTCTGTTCAATGTGAAGTAAAATAGACGAGAGAGAAAAAGAAAGTATATGTATTTAACGTTTTATTTTTAAACATTGACAATCTGCGAAAAGCGCAATAAGTTACAAAATAATTATTTACTACGACGAACAATTAATCAATGGAGATGCTACCTAGTGGTAATACTAGAATTGGTAATAAACCATTAAATATATATTGTAACGGTTTATTATTAGGACATTTTTCTTTTTAAAAAAGTAGCCCCGCCCTTCATTCAAAAATTTAATATTAAATTAAGTAACACTTCATAATCGGATGCTTATCAAAATTAAACGAACTCTTCGTGATGTCGGTTTAAAATGAAATAACTGAAATTAAAAAGGAATTATTTACCATTCGAGGCTTTATTTTCATTTAAAGGAATGATAAAATATAGATTCTACACCGTCCGTTAGAGGGTCTCAAGTGTTTACTCTGATGAATTGAATGGTGAAACACACGCCTTATCATAAATTTTTAAACATCACTTCAACTTTTATCGAATTGAAAAAAGGGGAGCGGTTTCAAACAGGGTGCTAGTGCTTTAAAGTGAAGTCAAATATATCAATTTACATGTAATAAGATTTTTAAAACGCGTATGTGAATAGAAATTTTCAAAAAAGAATATCTTCTATTTTATTAAACAGCGTCGGAGAAAATGGGCTTTCTAAAGGAAAATATGGTGTTGATGCAGCTTTTATTTAGAGCTAATTAATTAATCTCATCTGGCATCTAATAAAAGTACGCTTTATGTAATTTTTGTTGGACTTCGAAAAAAGGGTTTTTGTTAGGATTTTTCTCGATTAAATTCTCAACCATAATTAATATTTGATCAACAAGAATTGATTCCCAGTGATCCAAAATCTGATTTGCTGTAGATAATCAAATGAAAAAAAATTTAAACTGTTTTCTTAAAAGTAGAAATGGGTTATACGGTACCACACGACCGATCGGTAAAGCGGGTTTGGTATTTCTTCACGCCTTGATTTCATTTTATCTCTTTTTCTTCTTTGGCGGATTTTGAAAACAAAACTTGTTAATAATGGTTATAAATAAAAAAATATATATTTACTGGCGACATTTCTACACGAGAAGAACGAAGAACTTGGGATTCTATGAACAAATTTCAACTATATATGGACACGAAGCAAAAAGTATTCTGAAGGACATCGCCAACAATGAGAAGAAACTCGCATCGGATATCAATCAGAGAACCTTTTTGTTGAAATGCAGACAACGCAAGGTCCTGAAGATGATCTCAATAAAGATCGAAACGTAGGCACGATAAAGAAAATGTTTTTCTGAAACCTACGTCACACGAGATCGCATCTCACGATTCCTGAATAATCATCGACTAACGGTCACTAATCACCTCACATACATAGTAAGTTCAACCAAAGAAAACTGCTACCTTGGGTTCTATTTGGATATCATATACAAATATACATACGAACAACTCAGGTGCCTACTGGAATCCAAATGCACAATGAATAACACAGAACAAACGAACAATATGCAAAACACAAATTGGACTTACGGAGTTGTGGGGTAGCCAAGCCATCTAATACCAAAACCAATCTAAAACCAACAACTAAATCTTTTCAATAATAAGTCCACCAACCCATCATCAAGGCTCCTTCCTGTTACTACTAATCAAACCATCCGCAAAGACATTCCATTCCTGACGGTTATAATTAGGGCTGGGACATATATGTATTTGCATATTTTTCCTGCTTAACTAAAACATCCAGTTTTGAAAAACTGTATATGTTTTAAAACATTCAGAATCAATTTAAGCTATATTTATTTTGCATATCTGTGCATGTATTGCCATAAATGCATATTTTGGCATAAGTTGGTTGTAATTGCATATTTTCTCCTGGCATATCGGTATTTGGCACGTCAAATTTTACTCTTTCTGAGCAGGCAAAAAAATTCTCCGAAAAAGAGCTACGGGCTCTCATTCTTCCGTTTCCACATAATGAACCTGTTTGTGTTTGGTCAGTTGCTGCTCCACCGCTTTTCGCGTACTTTCGGTTGCCTTTGCTTCTCTTGGAATAAATAGACAAGGAATAGTGTTTGTACCACTTTAAATGTTCTCTTGGAATAGTTTAATTGGATTCATGGAAATATTACTACCTCAGTTTTCTTTCTCAACCATCACACTTTTCAGGTCTACCCAGTCTCTCATGCGTTTTCCATCATGAAACATTATTTGTGGGTTGTGAACTGACTACTCCTAAAATGCCGAAGGTCACCGCAAAGATGAAACATCTTGTTCAAAAGTGGGTTTTGAAATGTGACTTTTAAGGGCGATGCAAACCTTTTATACTTTGTTTGTTGTGATAAACCTGTATCAACAGCTACACGTTTTTTGGTAACACTGCACATAAAGACAAGGAAAACAAAGGTAGAAAGTCAAGTTTCAACAAAACTTGAGACACAAGCTGCCACAAGTGCTGGGTCTTGTCCGGTTTCAATATCGATTTTTGTCGTGCTTTAGATAGAGCTGACATACACATAAACTAAGCCATGCTGAATTCAAGGGTTTTTTGGAGAAACAATCAGGGAAAGCATTCCTTACGAAAGTACCCGCAGGAAATCTAGCTTGGATCTTATATACAATGAAACACTCCATAAAATCAGAGAATTCATCGAAAATGGACCGATATGGTTCTCGATGGATGATTATATGTACTTTTCAAATTTACCTATTTTTTTAATGCGTTTTTCTTTTTTAATATTAGCCATGTGATGTTCCTCTTGCCGTTGTTTCTCTTTTCAATACGAGTATGTGCTTTAATTTGAGGTCCCCTTATTTTTTCTCATGGGAGTGTTCGCATATTTTCAATTTTAAATTGCATTTTTTACCAAATATATGAACATATACAGGGTGTCCCAGTTCCTTCTGAGGAAACTCAGGGAATCGATTCCACTCTTTGTTTGGAACAAAAAATACTCAGGAGAAAATTTTCGGAAAGTTCTCTATTTTGAAGATATTCGTCAATTTAGGTTTTTTCAACTTTTTACTGCTTTACCACATAAAAACGCTTACAACTTCCAAAATGTTGAGACTACAACAAATCCAATTACATCATTTGAAAGAACGCTAAATTTGCTGTAAGATACTTCTCTACAATAATCTGAATGACATAAAATGTTAGCCAATATCAGCTGGAACATGTCAAAATTACAAAATTTAAAATTTTGGTCATGATTGCACGTTCTGCTGAGGTTACAAAAAAATACCTACAACTTGTAAAATTTTACGAAAACTTCTTCGTCTAATGTGCTTTACGTTGATATATCCAGGTTTTTAAATAACGTTCCAGTAGAGTTGAAAAATAACAATTGAATATTCGAAAACGTGAGCTAAGGTTAATTTAAAGGGGGGAGGCAGATATTCAGAAAGTCAGTAATGCATTCGAGAAGAGGGAAAACACTTTGAGCATTTCCTCTGAAATGTTCCTCCTTTGTTGTTAGGTGCTTGCTACAAGAAGAACCATTGCATTTTATTGTATGAAACTTTCTGGTATGGTTTTTGTGAGATTACAGATGTGTCATTTTTACTTTACAAAGCGAGTCCTAACTGATTTATTTGTAACCCCTCCCCCCTCAAATTCAAATTTACCTTAGCTCAAGTTTTCGAACATTCAATTGTTATTATTCAACTGTACTAGAACGTTATTTAAAAACCTGGATATATCAACGTAACGCATATTAGATGAAGAAGTTTTCGTAAAATTTGACAAGTTGTAGTAATTTTTTTGTAACCTCAGTAGAACGTGCAATCATGACCAAAATTTTAAATTTTGTAATTTTGACATGTTCCAACTGATATTGGCTAACATTTTATGTCATTCAGATTATTGCAAAGAAGTATCCTACAGTAAATTTAGCGTTCTTTCAAATGGTGTAATTGGATTTGTTGTAGTCTCAACATTTTGGAAGTTGTAAGCGTTTTTATGTGGTAAGGTAGTGAAAAGTTGAAAAAACCAAAATTGACGAATATCTTCAAAATAGAGAACTTTCCGAAAAATTTCTCCTGGGCATTTTTTACTCCAAACAAAGAGTAGAATCGATTCCTTGAGTTTCGTAAGAAGGAACTGGGATACCCAGTACATATGGGCATATTTGTTTGTTTTTATTGCATATAAATCATAGCCCTAGTTATAATACTAAGTAGACTCGGGATCTCCTAATACAACCCACTAAACCTCAATCAACATCTTTTTTTGATTGCTACCAACGAATTGTTAAACGTATAAATTTCTGTACAACTAAAAAACAATACCATATTCATTTATATTCTGCTATTAATATATATTCATTAAATTTATAATAGCGCATTAAATTTTATATTGTAGAATTGAAACTACAGGAGTAAACGATGTATAGAAGGAGTAGGGTAGACAATTGTGGTAGAAAAGGTAAAAAGGTCTGCTGAAAGAAGTGTTAAATGTTAAATTAACGTAATTCCCCTTGAATAGAGAGGCAGCTGTCAATTTAAATAGGTATACAACAAGAAAGTGTTTCATTTAAATAGATTAAGCGATTCGCTTGGTAATAAACCATAGTTTCTCTTTAAAGGGCCCTAATCAAAGTATATACGAGAGGGTGTCCCTTTAATCATGGTCGGAAACTCTCTTATTCAGAGGCTGGTTAAACGAATACAGAAACCTTGTTAGGTTTTCGAGCATTTGCCTCTTTCCGCGTCGAAGAAAATCCAATAGACGCCCAGTAAAAGAGGGAGCTTGTGAACCTAAGCATTTACAAATTAGGGTTTCGACGTTTTGCCTCTGGTAATCCTGGAAACATTTTTATGCCGGGGCTTAATAATGTTACATTCTCTGTTTTCCGAATACTCCTTTTACTCTTTTTTTTTCATAACAACTTTGCCTACATAACTGTTATAAATTTGAATATTTTTTACTCACGCATTACGGTCATTTCTTGATCGTCTGAAGGTTTAGTGTAAATAGGGGTCTCCGTTGATACCTCGCAGGAATAAAGGCCGGACGCTTCGAAGTCCAGCTCTTTCAACATCACCTGGTTTTCGTTGCTGTTGCCCCACTAAAAAAAATAATAAATAATGAATATAAACAAATAAAATCAAAGAGGATAAAAGGGTTTATAATGTATATTACAATGTACAATGTTTAAAAATTTAGAAAATAACATTATATCAAATTATGAGTGCTTGATAGAAAGTTAGAACTTTTTATAAATCTTTTAGATATGAATTGCTTTTAAATTAACGAAATTTGATTTAAAAAAAGAAAAAAAGGAAAGGAAATGATTTTCCTGTCAAGACTACAAGATAATAAAATAAAATAAATAAAGAATATAAAAAATAAAATGAAAGAGTATAAAAAGGTTTATAATGTATATTATAATGTACAATGTTATGTACAATTAATTAAGGGTATGGTTGAGATAAAAAAGTCAGTGTCATAAGCAGGATTCGAACCCACGACCTTCGGCTAAATACGCCGCTGCTCTGCGACTTGAGTTAGCTTTTTATCTCAACCAGAACCTTAATTAATTGAAACGAATTTATTTCGTCAAGCGAACCACCAAACCTAATAAATGTTATGTACTATTAAATTCACTAATTTCGTGGTCCGCTTGACCAATTAATACATTACAATTAATTAAGGTTTGTAGTTGAGATGAAAAAAGTTAATGGCACGAGCAGGATGCGAACTCACGATCTTCGGCTAGATACGCCGCTGCCTACCACTTGAGCTATCGTGGCCTCGATCCACTCGGACATCAACTTCCCATCTCAACCCCACCTTATGAGTTTTCCCTCCTTTTTGCCATTTTTCAAATGTCGTGTAATCGGATTGGATTTTCGACGACAAAGATCGTGGGTTCGAATCCCGCTCGTGCCATTAACATCTCAACTAAAATCCTTAATTAATCGTTATGTACTATGTTTGAAAATTTAGAAAATAACGTTATAGAAAATGATGAGTGCCTGAGAAAAAGTTAGAACTTTATATAAATCTTTCAGATATGAATTGCTTTTAAATTAACGAAATTTGATTTTAAAAAAAAGGAAAGGAAATGATTTTGCTGTCAAGACTGCAAGCACTTTCTAATATTATCGACGGCTAAAATGCTCTCGAGTTAACAAAAAATATATAATAAAAAAAATTCCGAAGCTCTTCCATTAGAATTTTAAATTTTTACACCCCCCTCCAGACACGGTGAACTTTTTCAATTTTTATCGGCAGGCTTGTACCGACGGGTACCCCCGTCCATCTAACCTTATAACCGGCATCCAATTGAATTCCGGGACGAAAGCCGCCCCCTGGTAAAGCAGGAGCGGGGCCTAATTGGGACTTGAGGGCCAACGATAACTTTAATGGGCCTGGCACCTAGTTATCAGGCACTCGGAATAACTTTCGTCCGAGGCCCGATGAGACGGATCACAAGCATATTTCCGGTTGAGATAAAGATTACAAACGAGAAAGAAAATCCTCCAGACTCGGCCCGTAACCAAAATTCATAATTGACTCATCATAAAACTTCAGCACTTATGAAAATATAAAACACTCCTATTTATATAAATATTATAAACTATAAAAACTAAAATGTATTGTATTGGTTAATAGTGTAATAATGAAAGTACTGAACATATATTTTGGTCAATGAAAACCTCTAGGTCTTCATTTAATCACGTACGTTTTGTTTTAAGAGATCCCTTAATTTAAAAAAAAAATATTACGTATGTAGGCTATAAAACGGATATCAAGCTACTACCACCAGATGAGAATGAACTACAAAGAATTCCATCAACAAAATACTTAACAATATATAAATACTAAATTTATATAATATATAAATTCTTAAACCTTTTACTAATAGTCGATTTGGGTTTTCTCACCTCAATTTTGGTAAGTATTGCTAACTTTTTACTAAATGTCGATTTTGGGTTTGCTCACCGCATTTTTTAGGTATTGGGGCGAAAAAACCCAAAATCGACTATTAGTAAAAAGTTAACAATACCTACAAAAATTGAGATGAGTAAACCTTAAAGGGACTGTTAGTAAAAAGTTANGTCTATTAGTTAAAAGTTAACAATACCTACAAAAATTGAGCAAGCCCAGAAAGTAATATTTGATTACTTATACCATAAATACAAAGACAACCGTACAAACAATAATTGGGTCAACCTATAACTGACTACTATTACAGAGACTTTTCGCTTAGTAGACCCACAATTGTCTATTTAACTATTTGTACAAAGACAGGAATACCAAGCAATTTTTAGCCCATTTAACCAAAAACTTCACTACCAAGAAACCTTTAGCAAACCCGAAAACAGTAAAATGTATAAAGATATATAAATTAGATCTATGTTGCTTACTTCGATATACTAACCATACTGAATTTTATTTCGTTATCAAAATTTAACATTTTTGTCACGTCTGCTTAGATTGATTTTAAGTACTTCTTCTAGCGAGAGCGTCAAGAAGTAGATTAAAAGTTCTTTTGCTCCCCAGAAGCACTTCCACTCCCATTGTTTGCCACAGTTTCGATCTTTGACCGCCTCTGATGAGAAAATTGGGTAAACATTTTTTGTATCGGTATTTTCATTCTTTATATTATAAATGGGCTAAAATATACTTTTATCGATCAATTAAATGAAAGGTTTAAAGGTATCAAATATATATTTTTGACTTGTGTCATATTTATTGATTAGTGTCAAAATGCTTGGAATGATTGAACTTGAAACACATTCGGTCAAAAGATTTAAGGATATTGCCTTCAAAATGTCCCCCGGGAATTCGAACGAGAATGCCTCGTATAATTAAAATGTCATTAACATCCCAGCATTTTAAAGGAGTATTTTTTACCCCCGAAGCTACGAGTCTCATTAAACCCAAGGAAATATTCGACGGGTTTTCCTTCCTTTTTTTAACAGAAACTTGTAAGGAGAAACAAATCGATTGCCGAGATCGTTCGTAAGCAGAATAATACTCTTGACCCTCCAGCTACTACATCAGAGGAGAGCATCCATTATTCAGTGAAGTAGTGCACTCAGTAAATATCACAGGCCTTTTAAAATCGCTACAGGCTATTTTCTGATGTAAGGCTAACTACAGAAAGACCACAAAGAAGTACTCGTAGCAAATAAATATAAACAAAACTCAGGGGTACGTTGACTGCTTTTGTATGGAACTCCTTCATAATCAAAGATTGTTTGATTCTGTATGACGAGCAATTTTATGTTACAATTTTATGCAGCAGAGACCTGGGTTTATCAAAAATTTGAAAAAGTCAAAAATGTCCAGAGAAAAATTGTTCTGCATGCCCAAGAGTAGTCCGATTACTTACTTTATTTCTAAACTAACGTATTGCCTTCGTTCATTTTTACCGTTTCTCTGCATATTCAAAGAGCCCTCCAATGGTCAAGTCAAAGTGTTAGGAAAAAATTAATAGAAGAGATATTGACAAAAAAAAAAATATTTTGGTAAAATTCTTTTGTTAAGAAATTGTAAAAATGGGATATGATATCAGGAAATTACATCAAGAAAAAATAGCATAATAACTTCCTGGAAGATTATTAGAAGGACTATAATATTATTATTGAAAAATGGCAAAAAGGAGGGAAAATTCAAAAGGTGGGGTTGAGATGGAAAGTTAGTGTCCGAGTGGATCGAAGTCACGATAGCTCAAGTGGTAGAGTAGCTGTGTATTTAGCCGAAGGTCGTGGGTTCGAATCCCGCTTGTGACACTGACTTTTCTATTTCAACCAAAGCCTCAATTCAACATTAATTAATTGAAAAGAATTTATTTGGTCAAACGGACCACGAAACCTAATAAATTATTATTATATGAGAAAAAAATTGGGAGACGATTCGTTAGTTAAAAAATGTGGAAAAATGGGATATGATATCATGAAATTATATCAACGAAACATAGCATATATGTTCAGAGTTTTTTTTTCTTTTTAATATATAAAGAGAGGATTATTATTCAAAATTACAAAAACTGCAAAGAAGGCAAAATATTTATAATTTCAAAAGGTTTAAATTGTAGTTAAGATATTTTAAAGCTAAGATTTAATTTGGTTATTTTTTTTCATTCGACAAGATTATTCTGTATTATGTCTGTTTATTTGTTTGTTTTTAATTTCGAAAAGCTAAATTCATTTCTCTGGTGATCTTGAAAAACTTTTGCTGTCAAGCATATGCTTTGCTTTTGGACAGCAGGCAGGGATGTACCAAAATATTATTTTTTGTTATAAATTTATATGTAATGTACATTCTAGCAAATAAAGATTTATTATTATTATGTAAATAACTTCCTAGAAGATTATTAGAAAAACGATATTATTATTATATGAAAAAAATGTGATACGATTCGTTAGTTAAAAAATGTGTAAAAATGGGATATGATATCATCAAATTATATCAACAAAAACATTGCATGTACGTTTTTTTATTCAACTTATTTATCTTCTATTTATCTATTTATCTTATTTATCTTCTAATAATCTTTTCTGAAATTATTTACATATATGCTATTTTTCTTGATATAATTTCTTAATATCATATACTATTTTTACAATTTCTTTACAAACGAATTGTACCAACATATTTTTTTTTCATTATCCCATCTCAACCCCGCCTTTTCGATTTTTCCCTCCTTTTTCCCATTTTAATGTAATCTATTCGATTCTCGGCGACAAATGAAATGGCCACGGAGAGCTTTCATTACTTCAAACTTCATTTTACTTATTAAATTCATTAGAGTACGTGGTCCGCTTGACCGAATAACGTTTTTCAACTTTTTTTTGGGGTATTGGTTGAGACAAAAAAAATAAAGGAAGTTGGTGTCCGACTGGATCGACGTCACGATAGCTCAAGTGGTAGAGCAGCTGCTTATTTAGCCAAGGATCGTGGGTTCGAATCCCGCTCGTGACACTGATTTTTTTATACCTTACATAAAGATTAATTAATTGAAAACGTTATTCGGTCAATCGGAGCACGAACTCCAATGAATTTGACTGTATACAATGTTTATATATTTATAAATACTTGTTATTAGTTATAAAT